ACACAACAACCACACAACAACCACACAACAACCACACAACAACCACAACAACCACAACCACAACCACAACCACAACCACAACCACAACCACACACACAACCACAACCACAACCACAACCACAACCACAACGACAACGACAACGACAACGACAAGGACAAGGACAACAACAACACCAACAGCAACAGCAACAACAACAACAACAGCAAGGTACGAACAAAAACTGCAGCCATGTTACAACATATATGTTTCCTTTGTCTCTACAAGGGAGTGGAAACAAAAACTGCAGCCCCGTCGTTGTTTGTTGACCCCCCCGAAAACAACCAGCCAACAAGGACCTTCACCAGTAGTGGTAGTGCTTGTACTAGTGCTAGTAGTGGTAGTAGTAGAAGTAGTAGTAGTAGCAGCAGCAGCAGTAGTAGTAGTGGTGTAACCTACCCCCTTCTAGAAACAAAGACTGCAGCCCCGTTGTTGTTTCTTGGTCCCCCCTTCCAGAACAACACCTCAAAAACACTAAAATGAACCAGCCCAGACTTCAGTGAAACGAGTCCAACAAGTCCACCTACTTACGAAACCAACATTCGCTCAAACCTTCAACCGTATCCCTAACCGTGCCCCCTTGAAGTTCCAAAGTTACAACATGTGACAACTATGTTTGGCGGCTGTTTTTGTTTCTACCAACATCAACCACAACAACCACAACTACAACCACAACCGACCTTGCACGATTGCACGATACAATCTTTATTGAAGTTCTTTCATGTTCTTTCTTGGGATTGTTACACCAGAAATCACCGCAACAGTCTTGGAAAAGACATGAAAAGACATTGGAACGACCATGGGGCCCATGGGCCATCATGACGTCTTTCCGGCTCGGCCGATCACCCGAAAAACGTGGCCCGACTTTGTGAAGGAGAGGTATATATATAGAGTATACTCTCTACGGTGGGTGGTAACCGTAGCTTCTCCAAAGTAGACGCACCATATCGACTGTGCACCGTCTCGACCAAGTGGATCGACAGGGTGCATCTCAGAATCTTAGAAGGTGGCGTTTCTGACGACCTCGGTTTTGCCTCCAATGCCATGCACCTCTCCACACCACATAGCAACATAGCAGACATATGCAAACGTAGCATCTCACGTACCGATCACCTCCCCCCATATGATCTTGTTCGGCCGCCTGCTGGGCAAAAAATTGTTTCACTCCCGTAAGAGAGCAGTAATGGGATCACTGGAATCAGCCCGAACCCTTTTCAAGGAATTCTTGGCCACTGAAATGGCAAACAAATGCAAACAACAACCCAAAACAACACCTTCCAAAGAATTCCAAAGCTGCAATTTGTTGGTGTTTTGGTACACTTCTTATTTACTCTTTGACAGCAAACGAGCTCGGAGATCAAACCGGTGACCTCTGGCTCTACGTAAGAAAAACTCCAAACGCTGCGCCGCATGGAACGCCTAAGCCAGCTTGGCTGGCTGGCAGGGGGACAATGCGAAAGGAGCGAAAGTCACTGCTTCATTTACGGACTTCTTCAACCCGGAGATCGTTCTCCGAAAGATGCTAGTAATAGAACCAGCAATCCAAACAGCATCAAAGAAAAACAAGGTGGCCAAAAATTAATGTCAGGGTTTTCCAAAGAAACAAAGGAGTGCCGATAATTGAATGCATTCATCGCGGGAATGCTATTCCTATCTACCTCCCAAATCCGAATCTCACTTCTTGTTGAATGTGTGTGCATACCTTGGAGCCCTCTTCATTGACTTGAAGCAGTTGACTAAAGCAACCCGAAGCCCTCACTTGGATCAATAGAATTGAGACAGAATTGGATCAGTCTTCCGAACTGTATAGAGAACGTTTTTGTCGTGTGTTGATAAAAATGAACCACACGAGTCCACATGATGCTTAAGCGCACCTGTCTCACATTCTACGAATTGAAACCGCAAAGCACGCGAATTGGCACTCTGAAACTTCAGGAAACGACGCCCTCCTGCAACTTTGGGTGACGGGGTGGGGAGCCCCAAAAAAGAAAAAAAACATGAGAAAAGAACTGAAACCTGACACACACACACAAACGGAACAAAGGAACTCTGGGATTATTCATATTTAATAACAATCATGTTGTGTTGAGTTGGCCTGGAGCAGTCCATGACCTTTGTCTTCTCCAACTATCTCTGACACTGATTACCTCACACAATCAATTGTTCATATTGCTGCCAGTATCGTCTTCGGTACAGCATGCAATAATTATGCAAGGTCACAGCAGTACATAAATAGATATCATGAAAATCCATATGTGTCTTTGTTCCTTTCCTCCCAGAACTGCTGTGATGTTCTTCCGCCGTCGGAGAAGCCCTTCCTACAGGCCGTCTCGGGGAACATCCGCGCTCTTGCGACCACGGCGGCCTCAGCAAACAAAAACACAATCATCAATATGATATCCATCTAAGGTACATCGATCTATCCACTATACATACGTATATAATCATATATGTATATATATATATATGCCTCATCGATATGCCTCAGTGTACAACTATCCGTACAAGGGGATGATAGTGTAAGATAGTGTACGAGTACACCCCGATGGATCCCAGGAATCCCACTTTTTGTAGGTGACCTGTAGCGAAAAAGGTGCTCCAGCAGCAGAATGCATTTGGGCCACAGCCGCAGGCCGGGCCAGCCATGCGTAATAGGATTGTATGTGCTGTAGATCGTAAAACAAGTTCATTCACTTATCTTCACTTGGTTCGACATTCCTTTTCGGATCTTTACCCACTACCCTCAGTAAAACATCATATTGCATTGCCCGAAGCGCGACCATATTTGTATGTTCAACTTCCCTGTGCTTTGTGATGAGTGAAACATCGCCGTTTGGAGCGCTGCAGCTGCAGCGATGTTAATCGAAGAAACATGAAATAGACTGTGAACCCTCGTCCAAAAACTCTCTAACACCTGGAAGGAGGTACATTTTCACCCAGCCAAGCAGATTGGGAAAGAACATTTTGAGCGCTCACCAGACTCAGTCTAGTGTTCCTCTTCCGAAACCCAATCTCTCCGCCAACGCCCTTTGGACCCCGGCCCTGGCTGGTGAACACGCCCACAGCACGGTCCTCCTCCCGACGTGCGATCCATATGTGAAGGATTGGATGGATAGGAATCCTATGGAATCATTCATGGAGGAAATCCTCCACCACTCCAGCACCAGAGACTAGGAACACACCTTTTTTTCAGATTATTGGCGGTTCCAGGCCAGGTGGTGCAATATTTTTCAATCTAATCAACAGTAAGGTTTCTCACGGAACATCGCCATTGGAGTGTTCAATATGTTTTTGTTCGATTGGGGCCATGCATGCCATGCTCTCAGGTGTGTGTTTTTGGTTAACATCCACATGCTGATGATTTTCGTGCAAATGTTGACAGTTTGGTACAGTTTGACATTTTGATATGAGTCATGGTAGGTCATGGCCTATTTGTGTCTATACACTACAATACTGCAATTTAAGAAAACTAGCAAATGAATGCAAATGAGAGATTTTGGAGTCCGGCTTTCATGCCACACCGCAATAGGCCCACCTCCATGTGTTGACCCCAGGAGACGTCCGCATGGCTTGTGTGGCCTGAGCCCGGAGACGGTTTGGGCAAAGGTTTGGACCTTCGTGAGGTACATGTTGCAAAATGGCCTTATTAGCCTTTGGCTTCAGGACGTTGCAACACATCCACCTTGGGGCTTGTTCGTCAAAGCTGGTTATGGTACCTGTTGCTGGTGATGGCACCAGTCACCGCTAGCTGCCAGATCCCCATGATGAGAGACTTGGCTGCAAGCCCAGCAGTGTCTCTGGTGACCCGTCCAGAAAGCATTTCCCAATAACATGAACCTCAATTTGCCGCGGGTTGAACTAGCATGAATGTACGTTAAAATGACCAAAAAAGCCGCGCATTGCGATCGGCACACAACATACTCTACATAGATATTACATAATCCGCCGACCCCGGTCTAGGACGATGAACGTGAGCGTCAGAGGAGCGGGGCTGGCGTGTTCCTGAGAGGGGCTCCGGTGAGGTGGACGATGCATCGTCCGCCCAAAATCTGCCCCAAACTTGACAAATGTCTGAACCTTCGATTGCCATGCCTGCAACGCTTGGAAAAGCGTTGCCCAGGATTTGGCCTGAGGTTCGACTCTCCCCAGGGTTCAACTGTTCGACTCCCCTCACCCGTTGGATTCAGGCATGGCCCCGAAGATGCGGAAACCATCATGGACCCCGCCTGCGTGAACCCTGCTTTGAGGTTTCCTCCAGCAGTGAACATGACCTCCTGCTGACACGCCGGCCAATGCCGTCAAGATCTCTCCATTGTCTTCCGCGTACATCACCATGAACACAGTCTCTGCTATACATCGATCACCACCGCCCCCCCCTTTCGCTTCCAATTGCCTCAATGCCACCACTCTCAAACATGGTTGACAAGCCACTCACCCCCTGACGATTCTAACTGGACCATTCCAACTGGAGCATTCTAACTTGTAACTCCTCATCTCTAATTACTTTACCATGCTCTCCACTGACTGGGGGGCTTCATGACAATTACACAACACATATTCCTTGAACCTGCGAACCGCATACCAGCTCACCGACCCCTCTCAGAGGAGGCGACAAGTAGCAATTTGAAGACGCCTTCTCCGAACTTTTGATGTTAAACGTCCAAGGATTGAAAACTACTGACCTGCTATGGTGTTGGTGGTATAGAAACACCCAGCTTAATCTGGCATTTGGACTCAGACATGCCTAAGTGCATTGCCCTACCCACCACCTTAAGTCCAGTGAGATGTCCGCTCAATGTAGACAAAAACAGAGATACTTTACTAAACTAAACTACACCTCTCCTCATCTTTGAAGCACGTCGGTGCGCACCTTCTTTGGTGAACTCGCAGTGGCTGCTTTCTACCTGACGATGCACGGCCAGCTCCTCTTTGGAACAAAATCAAACATGAAGAACTCAAAAGCGGCACACAAGCAGCTGCTTTTGTAGCTTTGACTCCGGGCTGTCCAATGTCTACCCCATTCCCCTCCAAACACGTGATATGGCACCAATCCCAAGTGTAGTATTTGTTTGAGGTGCTCTTCAAAAGAATGTGGTGAATTGCAAGATTCCTGATGGGGGTGGGATTGCTCCTCAGTCCGTTCAAGGTGAATACTATTTCTCTGTTTGATGACAAGTCGCCCATGCTTTTAAACCATCTGGCCGTCTGGCCACACAAAAAGAGGCGGCGATAACAAATGCCGATCGCATGTATCAGCCTCAACTCACCACAATGATCCTCCTCTTGCCTCTTACACAGAAAAACAAGGGGCGGACAGTTCTGCTCCGCAGAATGCCCTTTTTCATCCTAGTTCCAACAATATACATGTTACATGTTCAACATTGAGATTAATGGGATGAACACGATACTTGCCTGTCGCAAACGCTTTTGAAGTGCCTCAGTTCCAAGCGAAGCAGCACATGCGAATCAGATTGGGCAAAGGTCTCCAGGCACAAACCCTTAAGCGTTGGTTGGCCGGCACACGCCATGGAAATAACTTTAAATAGCGTTTCAGTTGCTGCTCTGGATGAATCAAGGTTCAACTGCACCAGTGCATTCGAAAACATGAATCACTCGAAATGAAATAATTGTGCCAGAATGTGCCAGCCAATCTTGCTCTGCAACTCAATCTAACTTTTCCCAATGTTTCTCCCATTCCTGACATGTCACTTAAGCTTCATTCTTCAAACAACCCCCTCTAGCAGCTAGGAACCGCAATGCTAAACTGGTTAAAAACATGTTTGCTTGCCTTCAATTCCAAAGTATTACCACCTTGTTTGGTTCCTATTAGTATCCCTTAAACGCATTAACATCTTACCTCTTTTTCCACAAGACCTCACTGCTTGGTCCGAAACTCATCCATCCGGATGTGAGTTGGCTTGTCCACATCATTAAGCCAAAACGGAACTTATTTTCAAGGCAGGGCGATCGTCGGCGCCCACAAAGTCTCGCTGGGCCTCCGCACCAGCTGCAGCTCACTGTCTTCCATGGGCTGTTCCGGCGTCTCAGCCGCGAGACGCTTTGGAACCAAAGGGTCGACTCGAAAGCTATATTGCTATAGATATCTATGTATGTGATATGCGTTATAAGAATATATAAGATATATCAGGATATTCCAATCATGGCGAGGTTGTGCTGGCTGAAGTGTCCACAGAAAAACAAATTACTTTACTTCGAGTGGTCCCCACCATGACATTTCAATCTGAAATTTTCCGGCATGCATTGAAACATTATCTTTGCCTTCTTTCTGGCATATCTTCTGACATTATTTCTGACATTCATTCTGGTATATCTTCTGACTCGCGGTTGAGGTCCGGCGGGGAACACTGCCCGCCGAAGCTCGCGGTTGACGTCCCGGGAACACTGCCACGTGACCCTTGCAGTTGAGGTCCGGCGGGGAACACTGCCATCCTGCACTTGCGGCTGTGGTCTGGAGGAGGAGGCGGAGCAGGAGGCGGAGAGGAGGACGAGGAGGAGAACAGCACGGCAGCTGACATAAAATCCAACAACGCTCACCTGACAGGTGGGAACAAAAGGGAATCACACTTACAGTACTCTCGAGAGTGATCTCCAGTGTGATGTAGAGGACTCAAGCCACAAGTGAGTTTCAACAAAGAGGCACAAACAGGCTCTACCTTCTCAAAAGCCGCAATTGTCTGAAAGCTGTATGGGATACTCACATGAGTCAGCGTAGGTGAGCAATTGCCCATCAATTCAGCAACTCCCAAGTTTCCAGACCAGAAAACCAATGAAAATGCATGAAAACCAAAAATCACAAGGGACCGGGGCCGCAGGGTACCTGGCATGGATATATAATAAATAACAAATAAATAAGGCGCATTAAGGTCCAAAGTCCTGGCTAGTTGATTGGTTGGTTTTTCGTTGCGCTGCTCCAAGGGCTCCCAGGGCTGTTCCACGCGGAAAGGCTGTGGCTTTCACTTCGATTCCACTGGTGGAACCACCTGCGGTTCACGTCACCGACGTCCTCCACCGGTCACCGACGTCGAACTGAGGAGGACCCACTGGCTCTGGAATGACCTGAAAAGCAGAAAAAACATTTCCAAGGCTGATCAGCGAATGCGTCCTATCCTTCCTACAGTATCCTTCCATCCAATTGTATACATGAGAATACACGAGATGATTTGAATATTGAAACCTTTTTCTGCTCATGGTCCACCAATGGGTTTTGAGTTGGACTCAAACACACTGAACAAAAACACACAACATAGTCTTTTGTTGCTTTGGGAATTTTCGCAACTTGGGCTGGGCGGGTAGATCAAAAAAACAATCCTGTCTGGCTGGCACAGCTCGTGCATCTGAGATGAAGCCGATGAAGCCTCCTTTGTTGAGTTTTCACGTTGCTGACTGTCTCAAATCAACCCTCTGATTGTATGTGACTGTGCTGATCACCAAGTTATGTAGATGTAGGCTGCAGTGACGTTCCTTCCACACAACATGTGGCGTTTTCGTCGCACGGAATCCAGTATCAGCTTGGAACTACTGGAACAAGTGCATCGCTACTAGGAACAAGTGCCTTACTAGTAGTAACAAGAAGCTAGTAGAAACAAGTGCCACGCTACTAGGAACAAGTGCCTTATCCCAGATCTTCTGAAATGAAGCAGCCAAAGGGCCCAAAGGGTCAAATGTCTTCCCAGGATTGACATGGCACGTGGTAACACGCACTTGGCACCCTCCCCATCGGCCCATGCCACTTTCCATGTCAACCAAACAATGGAACATCCGAAGCACTGCATCATAGCTACGTATGTTCAACCATGGCCCACCAAAAGGCAAGTGGCAACCAGGTTCTGCCCATTCGTCGCTGCGTCAAACACTGCATCCCAAAGCTGCTTCGCCGGTTCAGTATCCCGGCCCAATGCACGGACTCTAGTTGGCTTTCACCCGAAACGCCTGGACAAAAAGAAGGGCAAACCCAAGTTCCAGAGGCGAAAGCATGTGAAAGCCGTACGTTTCGCTAGAATTGAGCAAGAAACGACTGGTGACTGGTGTTCTGCGTCAACATCAAAGACTGCAAGGACATTGAATTAGGATGCAAAGAACCAATATGCCGTATCCCCAACAAAACGATTGCGAGCATCGTATCAAACAGTAATTAAGTCGGGTCAAACCAACGTTCCTCTTAGAAACGTCAGCTCCCGTCAAACAGGTCATGCGACGTCAGCGGTTGTGCCCGGGTCTTGTGCCCGCTCACATTTAGTATATACAGTAGATCCACAAGCACGTATACATCAACTGACTACACCGCCACTGCCCAGGCGAGGTGTTCCGGAGAACTCCCTCTCTGTGTGAATTCACGTCCGCCCACCGCACAGAACCACCAGTCCTCTGGGAAAGCTTTTGCTGTGGCGCCAGACCTCAACAACTGAGCTTATGGCATGATTGCTGTGGGATGCAAGACGTCTGCCGGTCCGCATGATGTTCTCAGAGGCCCAAATCATGCACTTGCTTTTTTTGCAGTTTGATTAACGAGCCGAAATGGATTTGATTTGGTGCAACTGACTGGAAGGAAGGCGATCCACACTCTGGACGCTGGTCTGTCAGTGTGAAGCGGAATGGACACAGTGGAAATCTCAACGTGGCCAGTGTATCATGGACCACTGAAGGGTAACAGCTTTCAGACAAAGTTGTTTGCTTTCGGCCGACCATCTCCGTAGATCCCAGCGAAGATCAGGTGGCCTTCAACTCTTCTTGCATTTTTTTTGTGGAACAAGAGGCTTTTTGTTTTGCTAGCAGTCAATTCAGCATATGGACATTCATTCTCTTCACCCACCACATGTTGAAGATGTTCCAATAATATGTTTATATATATAAGGGGCTTTGGCAGAACGATGCCCTCAAAAGAAAGAGGTTGTGCTCCTCTCCTGTCCTCTCCCCCATCAAAGAATCACCTCTGCAAAGCCCTTGCGCTTTCAAAGTCGCCAAACTGGTGGGTGATCTCTAAGCCAAAGGGATTCGTTGATCAAGTAAACTCCCAAGCGCCAGGCAGTTGGCTTTTCACCCATTTCCTGATCTGCAAGCTATGCAGTCCATCTCCAAGAGGAAAGGATGAACTACTTGGAACCTATGTGGATCAGTGCGAAACTACAAGACTCAAACCTGTCTCTATGGTCAACTCTCCCTCACAAACTTTACAGCCCCTGGGTGTGCCGGGCCAATCACAGAAGCACAACTGGACATGGAAAAAAATCATCAGTAAATAGAGTCAGCCTGAAATTAATCCACCGCGCCCTACCCCCAACCTATGGGAGTAGATGCAAGAAAGAAAGAAAGAAAAAAAGAAAGAACACCTTATCCAAGGGGCCCTTATGTTTGGTCTCTTCTCCGGAAAGGCCCCGTGTTTTAAGGATCTCATGAACCTGCTGGCAGCATGCCAAGCGCAGGCCGCGCCTCCCGATGGTCAGCTTCCCCCTGAGCAAGAGACACTGGAAGACCACCACAGGCTGTCGGAGTGTGAATGGCTTTTCTGAGGAAAAGGAATGTCCATCAGTTTTTGTATTGCATGGGGCCACATGAGAGGACATGGGTGCGGTGTGAACGCAACTTCCGTGCATGTGGATACCGATGCCAAGCCTTATGGCGGAGCGCATTTCAGCTGCGCACAGGGTGTTTGGTCAACCCAAATATCCCAAAGATTTGCTAACTGCTACTGCTAAGTCAAGGAAAGAACAAAGCCAGGAATGAAGGGAACTCTAATCCAAAGAGAGCGTTACACTCCCGAAAACTAACATGGACCCTGAATTTGGCACCCTGAAAGAGCACAAACCAGCTTTCAGGGTCCATGTTAGTTCAGCGGGGTAGCGCCTGAAATTGAGTGCATGCGATCTGAGTTGCTGAGAGGAGTTAGAAATAATGGCCTGCTGCCCACATGGATGCAAAGAAGAAATGGTTTGCACGTAGCTTGTCCATGGAACATGGACCTTGCCTCACTAGTAGCAGCTGCTGTGACCATTCAGTGGACTCATGCGGATTTGGCTGTTGCAAGGGGTGTAAGGCTTGGTCAGCGATGTGGACAAAGTGCTGGGTCAGGGTTGATCAACTCAAATGACAAAGTCAAGTCTCGGTTTCTCCAGGTAGGTTGGAGGCCATCGCTATTGGTAACAAGGGCATTGCTACTAGTAGCAAGAACGCTACTAGTAGCTAGGGCACTACTACTAGTAGCAAGGACGCTTCTAGGTTGGAGGCCATCGCTATTCGGTTGAAGAACGGGACTCGCCCGCTTCGGGGTCTGCACCGGTCATGCCCCCTGGGATCGGGGGAAGCAGCTCGTTGGTTGGTGAATACCACTTTTGAGTTGTGAAGGCAAACACACGCACTTTGTGGAATTAGCCCTTTAGCCCTACAGTATCCATTCTGTCAGCAAGAGGAGGAACAACCAACCTTGGGGCATCTCCAGCTCCTGGCACAGCCCGTGACCTCCTGACCCGAATGGAACATGTATACGGTTATACAGTCAACTTGTTCCTCTGCAAAACAGTGAGCTTTCAGGGTTCGATCCGCCCTGAGGCATCGTCCAGCGCACATGCCACCGCCACGTCTGCAGCCATCTTCCCAAGCTGCGCCGCATCGGGGTGTGCATCGTCCTGCGCCGATGGAGAACATATAGTGCAGCTCTGCCATGCTCTGATACATATATATATATATACCCTAGACTTCCAAGACCATCAAACACATGGTTGACCTGGTTCTTGTAATGCAAAATCCTTAGTTGATTCGGGAAAGCCTATTAAACTAATGGTTGTTGGAAGCCTAGGGTGTATATATATATATGTCTGGTGACATCAATGGTTTCTACAAGCGTGCTGAAGTACTTGCAGGGAGCGGAAATGAGATAAGATGAACTCAGCACATGAGCATCTTGATGGTACCGCATGAAGCATCCCAATGACTCCTGACAGAGCCTGGAGTCATGATGTCAGGAAGCAGTTACTGAGCCAAGAGATAAGAAATGTTCTTCTGTGGCAATGGCCCTTGCTTGTCTTGCTTTACAGGTGCCTTCCTGAAGGTTAATGTAGACCTAAAATAGAGCAGATCATTCAGATCATCAAGGAAAACAGGTCTCCAAGGGTCCATTTTGGGGTTTCGGGAATCTCCAAAAACCAGCTGAACGTTTCTGAAACCTTCGATAGATTCCTATGTCACAACACATGGCTTCCGCGAAAGCTTCCGCAGCGCTTGCGGGACTGCAGTTTTAGCTTACGCGGAGGGGTTGCTTACACCACGGCATATGCAACCTGACGCCACTGGAGGTTTTGCTTACGCGCCTCGATATGACAATAAGGTCTTCACATGACGTCGGGCTTACGCCGACTTATAGGCAACCACAGTGGTTGCTTACACGCGGGATCGCGCGAGAGGGTTTACCGAATGGCTCAGCTGTTGGGTTGGCATGTGGAACGCACTCCAATAACGAAAGACAATTCTCTACAGTATTTTAGACATGTCATTTGCAACCTTACAGGCATTGACATCACCAGCAGTTCTCACCACTGACTGCTCAAATCTTCCCCAAGCGTTGGTGAGGTCAAGCAACGGAAAAAAAGAGTAATTTGCATTGAAACTTGGTTTCGACTTCGGCAAGTCACGGCAAGTCATCATCCGCCTCTGAAGAGATCATCCGCTTCCAGGAGCCCGCGGACCTCGGAGTCAAACATACTTGAGTATAAGGTATGTGTTGGGAAAGAAAAGAGACAACGAGTATAGGTAGGTGTTTTATGTTGGGACCTATTGGGAAACTGCAGTTTCTAAACAAAACAACGACTTGACGATGGACTTTAGTGGGACAGAGTTGTTGGTTGGTGGCACTCTGAGGAGCGGACTTGACACTGGTGCAATGGTTTACACGATGTCACAATTAATACTGTAATACAATTATACGATGTCAGTGGATTTCTGTGGAGTTCTGGAATGCTCGAAAACTCTCGATGGGTGCAATTAATAGGCACAAGCAGGGATCAGAACCCAAGATTCTAGAACTAATTTTGGATTATCTTTGGACACACACAAACGAGCACCGTGCTTGGTTTGGACATCTACGTGTACAAAGTTTTAAACAAGGAAACGTCGCATCATCCATGCAAAACGTAACGTGAGTAACGCAGTGAGTTGCTCTCGAAGAGGCGGTAGTGGTCCAGGGAGGATCCCTCAAAAACATCACCCCGGATACTTGCGCAATGCGTAGTTAGAGATGTTTCAACTCCAAATGTTGATTTCAGTCCGTGGCAACTGCGGGGAACGACACATGCTACGAAAGCGGACATCTCACGAAGTGGGTTTTTCATGGCCGCCACCCCGAGTCCGAGAGGACACCGCGTCCCCGGCGAGCCGGACGCATCAGACCTGAATGAACCCTCCCAAAAATCGATTTGCACATCCTGTCATTGGATATTTGGGATTTGGAAGGTGATGGGCAAGGTATGGACGTGTTTACAGAATGTGGAGGATCGAAAAAATAACATCAATTAACAAACAGTCAATGTGGATCAACAAGTTCCCAGTGAGCAATGAAAGGAAAAAGAGACTGGGTAAAGGACGACAGGAGCAGGGCGAAAAAAGGATAAGGCAGTGCACCGCAGAGGAAACCAAAAATATAAAGAAACAAAAGAGAGCCACAGGATAGGAAATGTTGGACGCAGCAAAGGTGGCCCTATCATCCACTACACGACAATGAAAGGATGTTTGCGTGCAGTGCATTGGCTAAAGTAGTGCAGTTTTCGTGGCGCTGGAGGGGAGCTACACAACCCATTGCCCCATCAATGAGGGCACCCAGAAAGTCACACCAGGGTCAAGGCAACCGACCGGGTAGCTTTTCTGCGTTGCAGAGGCAACGCCACATTCGCAAATACTTCAGGGGGAAGAAAGTGTGTAGCAACTTCGCTCGTGAATCTCATTGGCATGACTTCTCTTTCCCAATGGAACTCCGGCGGACTAATTTCCACCCTGGACAGGAAGGGTTGTGGGGCACGTGGTCACAGGCTTGTCAGCAACTTTTGTCCTGTCTGTGTATTATGAATGTCTCAAACCTCGCGCTTCTTGAAAAAATGCCAGCGGACCAGAAGACCAAAAGGACTGGGGAACCACAGGACTAGGGAACCTAGTCAGACTCAGGACTATGACTTTTTGATCCTGTTATGTCATTTTGTGGATCCTGTTATTGTCGTGTTTATATATCTAGAGGAAAAATGCCTTATCTTTTCATGTCCTTGTCTGAAAAAATAAGTCCCAAGGATTGGTGCATGCGATCCTTTTTCTATCAGGGAATCCAGCGCTGACTTTAAAATAAAACACATAACTACGGCCCATTATGAACAAATAGATACATTTTTATATATTGATAAGAGTTTCCAGAGTTGTCTAT